AATATGTAAACAACAGCTGTAGAGATAAGACAAAAATGTTCTATCAACTTTATATTTACCATATATTCATTGTTAATTGTTTGCCACATAGATCTTACTGTGTATTAGGGTTGACATAGGGCTTACCATACCATTGTGTATTAATTTATTTGCATATGATAAGGAATTAAAGACTTTCTAAAGTAAATTCCTTTTCCTTTATTTTCTTGTGAAAATCAATCATTCTCTCTGCTCAAAAAATTGCTCTTCCATTCCCCTCTCTTTTTTATAACTTTTTATTGTATAAAGTGTACAAAATAATGTTTTAGTATACATATATGTAGTGAAATAATTTCCTTCTATAAATGTTTTAACATACATCAGTAACATATGCATCAAAGTTGTCTTTCTCTTTTAGAATGTATATTATGTGGTAAAAACATGTAAGTTCTACTCTCTGGAAATTTTCATTGTACAATATTATTAATTATAGCCCTCCTAATTCACATCAGACCTTTAGACGTATTTATCATACATAACTGCAATTTTGTATTCTTTGATTTAAAGGATTCTTTGTTCCTTCCCCATTCTGCCCTGGTAGCCACTATTATCTCTGTCTATGTATTTGACTCTTTTTTTTTAAGACTTCACCTATATGTGAGATCATGCAGTATTTTTCTTTCCATATCCAGCTTATTTCACTTAGCACAATGTCCTACAAGTTAATTTACGTTGTCACAAATGGCAGTTCCTCCTTTTCCAAAGCTCAGTAATACTCATAAGTTTCCTGTATCTTACAATGCTTAGGCATTTATCTGTGGACAGGGAAATTTCATATTTTGGTTATTGTGATTAAAGTTGTAATGAACATGAAAATGCGGATATATTTTTAAGGTGTTGATTTCATTTCTCTTGAATTTGTATCAGAAAGTGCTTGCTGGAGTATATGGCAGTTCTATTTTTAACTTTGGAGGAAATTTCATACTATTTTCCTTAATGTCTATCTAATTTATATTCTCACCAACAGTCTAAGAGGTTCCCTTTCTTCCACATCTTTCCCTGTACTTATTTTTGGTGGGGAGTAAGAGCTATCTTAAGAGATTTGATGAGATCTCTCTTGCACTTTGGATTTGCATTTCCTTGATGATTACCGAATGATGTTAAGTACTTTTTCATAGGCTGTATTTATGTCATCTTTAGAAAAATAAAGTGGTACTTTGGTTCACAAACTTAATTTTTCTCACAATTCTGATTGCAAACCAAGTTGAATGAGAACCAAATCAAATTCAATGGTTAAGTTCAATATTGACCTTGGGGGAAAACTTGAATCAGTTCTGGTGCAGTTCAGTTTGTAACTGTAAAATTGCGTTGCTGAATCAAGGTACTTCTGTATCAAATCCTTAGCCCAGTTTTTAATTAAGGTATTTTCTTGCTATTGAGTTCCTTATATGTTTCCAATATAAGCCCCTTATTTGCGCATACATTCTGAGAAAGTTTTCTCTCAACCCAGAGGCTACCTTGAACACTTGTTGCAGGTGGTGTGGCTACCCTACCTCCTTCAACTTCCCATTTCCTGTTTTCTCTTGAGGGAGATAACTGGTCAGACCAGGAAAAGGACTCTGTCTTAATGAAGATGCAGTGATGCTTTTTATCTGTGTTTCCAGATCTTGAAGCAGTATAGGAATATGGAGGATGCTTTCTCATCAGAAGACTGACACCATTCACTGTGGAGCTTAGCTGTGGGCTTGACATGGAAGCAAGCAGAAGGATTCTGCTTCTTTACCTTGTTGCTCAACAGTGGAACCTTCTGAGACCTCCAGGTGGACAGGTGAGAAAGTCTCTCACCAGGGCTCAGAAGCACCTGTTCATTACTCAGACACTCAAGGAATTTTGAGATGCAAAATTAGGTGGTGGTTTTGGCTGTTATATTATTTTACAAAGTTTTTATTCTTTGTCATGTATTTGCTTCCTAGATACCTCTAATAAGTCATTGGTTAAGCTGAGGGGGCATGTGAAAATTATCTTTTAAATTAGAGATAATTATGTAAAATTTAAATCTATAAAAAAGTGGGGAAAAGTTATAAAATCATATATTAAATACTATTTGTTTATCATGTTATGTTTGTCATTATGGTTTTCTATCTCTTTTTTAAATAGGTATTAGCATTTTTGGAGATCTACTACTCTTCATTTCCCTCACTTCCTCCATCCTCAGGATAACCACTATGTGTAATGTGTGTGAATTATTCCTCTCCAGGTCCATAATACAGTACATATATCAATACAAATACATGACGTTATTTTAAGCTTAGACATGTATCTTGTTTTCGGAATATTCATGTGGATTGTCAGAACTATCCTAATCTAATAAATATTCTATAGCACATCAAGTTATTGTTAGCAGTTAATTAAGCCCTTGGAAAGTAAGCATTAGGAAATTAAGCTCAACATTATTTTTAAAGATTGAATTTTTTAAGGTTCTAAATGTCAGAAACGAGAATCAAAATAATTAAATTTTTGTACATTTCTGATATAACATAAAGTAGTTACATTTCAATCTTCACTGTGTGTGTGTGTGTGTGTGTGTGTGTGTGTGTGTGTTTTGTTTTGTTTTGTTGGTACCAGGGATTGAACTCAGGACCTTGTGCTTGTGAAGCCAGCACAGCACCACTGAGCTACATCCCCAGCCCTTCAGTCTTATTTTAATGCATACATTTTTATCCCCATGCTAAATTTGACGTATAAAATTTTGTTTTGAATCTGCTCATAAGTGGTTATTTATTTCATAATTAATTTAAGGTTAATTCAATAGTAGGAAACACTTATTTAATGTAAGTCAGATTTGTCTTTTTGATATGTATTGCAGATGTTATTAAAGAGCAATACACTTAATGAAGTTACAAGGTAAACTGTAATTATAATATACTGATGTGAGTAATGAATTTTATAACAATAACATTTTTATTTAGTTTTATGCAAAAATATGCCATAAAAAATCATTTTCAAAATTTTAAGGATTCTTGTTATGGTACTATTAGTGTATTTTTAAAATTAAGAGAGAGAGGGCTGGGGATTTAGCTCAGTGGTTTGGTGGCCTGCCTTGCAAGTGCAAGGATCTGAGTTCAATCCCCGGTACCAAAAAAAAAATAATAATTAAGAGAAAGAAAGAAAGCAAGGTTGACTGGACCAATTTAACAAGATGACATTTTAATGTCCTTTAAATCACCTTGTTTCTGACTTGTATGCTATTATTTTTAACAACTAGCACATGCCCTGCTAATCACATAGCTAAGACTAATGGAATCACTAAACCCAAATCACCAATCTACAGACTCATGAACTAGGTAAATGTTTGTTATTTTAAAAACTGAGTTTTAGTGTAGTTGTTTTGCACAGCATAATTTAAAAATAGACTGCCACAGATTATAATGGCTTTTGTTGTTTGTAACTGAGAGTCTTATTAACTCATACAACTTCTTTTAGTTCTTCTCATTAACCTGGAAACTCTAGAGCAATTCATTCCATAAATAGTTCTGGAGCTACTAAGATAGGTACAATTGCAGTGATAGGTGCAGAAGGTGAAGCTGTTGGAAAAACATACCTGATGCATTGTTCTTGATTTTTAATATTGTATAATTTATGATGAATGAAAGGAGAAACCAATAAAGAAACTTTCACCAAATCTTCATCGGAGACAAACAAACACTAGGACAAAATGTAAATAGTCAGGTTTATACATTAGAAGTCGGTCACAACATTGATCAGTGGTGGTGAACCTACAGCAAATGTGCTACATCTGGCTGTTTGGATCATTGCAGTCTCTAAAAGGTTCACCATCATCGGTAGAGATTGCAGATTCTAAACATTATTCCATGACTTCTTGAGATGGGCTCAGTGTGCCCAGTGAACCCCTGATTTCCTGATTATGGCCTAATTCCAGGTAAGGGGCACCATCTTAATATCCAACACTCTTTTATAGATAATTTGGTAACTTTATCATTGAGACCACAAGAAATAGATCTCCACTCTGCCACATTGAAGGGATCTTGCAGCTCTGTTGAATTCCGTATCTGCCTGAATCAGTACAGATCATTTTATGATGATAGCCCAGCCCTTAAACAAAGGATGAAGAATGATTCCTCTGGCATTTCCACAAAGATGCTCATTTTAGAGTCCTAATAGATAGTATATTAGTCGGGTTTCCATTGCTATAACAAAATACCTGAGATAACCACCTTAAAAAGATGAAAGGCCTATTTTGGCTCATAGCTTCTGAGGGTTTAGTCCCTGGCTGGTAGGCCTTATTGCTTCGGGCTTGTGGGAAAACAGTAGTCCAGGCAGGGAGCACATGAGAGACTAAGGTGCTTCCTTCAAAGAAGCCAGGAAACAGAGGAAGAAGAGAAAACTAGCATAGCACAGTCTCCTTCAAGGGTGCCCTCTTGGGGACCTAAAACCTCCTGCTAAGCCCCATTCTTTTTTTTTTTTTTGTACAGGGGATTGAACTCTGGTCCTTGTTCTTGCGAGGCAAGCAGCAGAACCACTGAACTAAATCCCCAGCCCTCAGCCCCATTCCTAACAATCTCCACTACCTTCCCGTACCACCAAGCTGGAGAACAAATCTTCAACATGTGAGTCTGTGTAAGACAGCAAAGATCGAGACTGCTGTGATATTTTCTTAACAAATAAGGGCACAAATGACCCTTTAGAAGAACATGGGCCTCTTTCCTTGGGGATAGAGGATAGAGGGATTCCTGAACAAGACAGTTCAAAAGGAAATAGAGTGATTAAAAGAGAAAAGAAAGATGTAAAATGGAATTACTAGATGAAAATCGTAAATATAAGATTAGTTTTTGAGCAGTACCCCAGTTCAGTTAATATTTACCTTTTATAACATTGTATTCTGTTGCTTGGAACAAAGGCCTCGCCCTCCGAGCACAGTATAAAAAGCCAAGAGTGAGCATCTTCACTGAGACCGCTGCTGCCACCCTTCCCACTGATCCCGCAGACCCAACGAGAGCACAATGGAGAAGCGTCTTCTGGGTGCTCTGCTCCTCTCCATCCTCTCAGTGGGTGTGACACAGTCAGGTTGGTCCTGATCCCTCCTGGGAAGATCTGCTGGGTTCCAGGGGGTTAAGGTGCGGCAACTTTTGCTGCCACTGCTTCTGCTGCCCCTTTTAGGAAGTTGTCACTGCGTAAGAATTTAATCTCAAAATGTGGCATCCGGAGACAACAGTCATTTAGCGTCTCACACTTTCTGTGGGTCTCAGAAGGGGCATAGCTTAGCTGATGATTCTGATGTTTCAGTCAGCTGGCCAAGGCTGTGCTCTCCTCTGAAGGCTTGGCTAGGGAGGATCTGGTTCCAAGCTCACTTGCACCGCACAGATAGTTTGGATCCAGCTCTTTCCTGCCCGTGTGTTGCAGGCCTCAGTTCCCCACTGTCTCTTATGATAGGCCCCCACTAGTTCTTCACCTCAGCTCCAGCCTTTCTATAGAACAGCACATGGCTCACAGCATAGCAAGTGATCCAACTCAGGGAGGAAAAGTGCCCACAGCAGAAGCCACAGCTTTCTCAGCATCTAATCTGAAAAGGCATGTACCTCACTCCTGCTGTTTTCTCTGCCTTGCAAGCAAGTCAGCCCACACCCAAGCGGAGGAGAATTATCTTAGGTCATAATTTTGAAACCATCACAGATTCAGATGAATCCCAGGGCTGGAGAAAGAACAGGTGCTTTGTTTGTAGTATGAGAACACAACTACCACTCTCCTGAAAGGGTAAGAAAGGCTGCAAGATTTCTGCTAGAGAAGTGACTCTCCAATCCATCTCGACCATTTAGTCCAAGGAGTATGAGAGGAAATAAGAAATCTCAGAAGTAGCTTGAATTTTAAATCAGAGAATCAGTTTCTCCCAAACAACTGAATGACCTTTTGTGAGGTTACTAAACTCTGAGCCTCCATCTCTTCATCTATAGGATGGGAGTAAAGACAACATCCGCGTTGTAGTGAAGACTGGGTAAGATCGGTTAAGGGCAAAATGTACTTTGTGATACATAAACGTTATAATGGTTTTTTTTTACTAGCTGTGATAAAACTTTAGTGCTTTGGCACACCCCTACCCCTGTCCCTCTGCAACCTCTACCTTTCTATTATTGCCACTAAGGACAAACTCATCTTCTGAGATTTGAGACACCCATTTCTCTATTGTGTCAATACAATATTCAAAATCTCCCTCTATGGTTAACCATGTTATTTTGCTCCAGGTTTGTGTACTGATGAGATTACAAATCACAAGGGCAGCGATAATTAGAGCACAGAGTTTAAATGTCTAATTTTCCTTCCTATCCTCCTAGTTCCCATTGTATTGACAGCTCAGTCCCCCCATCTCTCTCTTTCTCTCCCCTCTCTCCCCTCTGTCCCCTTCCCAATCACACACACACACACACACACACACACACACACACACACACACACAGAGTGTCTTCCTGGCATCCTCTCCCTAATTGCTCTGCTCCTATCCTTTGTCCAGGCTAAGTACTTCTTAGGCAGCCCTTGGAAAGAGAAATTCCATTTCCTACTATGAAGCAAAGCGAACTTAATTCAAGACCTTATATTACTACTGGGATATGTCTCCCTTGTTTCGGTTAGTCATTATTCTTTAACTTATTTTCTAGACCATAGTATTTGTTAAATTTACTTTTTGAGCAATAAAAAGCTGGTTTTCATAATGATTATGCCTTTCTCTTCTCTTGGGGGTTTTAAGAGGAAATAACTCAATGCTAGGTAATCCCATAATCTTGGTGTTGCAGCCACAGGGAAACAGTGGGAAAATTGTCCTGAGCTGGCACCCAGGTGCTGCCCCAGATGTGGGGGTACCTTAAAGGATGGGGCCATTGGTTTGCACATTATTCTTCTTCTCAGACTTCTCACTAACCATAAGTGTTGGTCCATCATAGCCAAGGTAAGCCATTAAAATGATACCTAGTTCCAGCCACAACTCATCCATGGGAGAGATCTCAGGACCTGACCAGTGGTGGGGAAATACAGAGTGCTACATGCTTTACCCATTATGCTCAATGAATCAGCAAGTCAGCTGCTTTTCATTTTCTGTGACTGACATTTTCTTTCATCCAGATGCGATCTCCAAGGAAGATGGAAATGGGTTTGATACAGAACTCGTGTGTGTGTGTGTGTGTTTGTGTGTGTTTGTTTGTGTGTGTGTGTGTCCCCGTACTGAGTCCAAGGTCTTCTCACTGAGCTGTATCTCTAGCACTTTTTATTTTTTATTTTGAAACAGGATCTTTCTAAGTTGCCCAGGTTGGGTTAGTGCTTGGGATTCTCCTGCCTCAGCCTCCCAGAAAGCTGAGATTACAGTTGTAAGGCCAAACCAGACTGATGTAGGACACCTTTAATTTCAATTTGTAACAAGATAGCTGAACCTAAAATGCCTTTTAACACAGACAGTAGCCTAGAATCACTGAGATAATGGACATATAGAAAGTCTATCAGCCTTACTGGGCTGTCAGGAGGCAGCTTAGTGTAAGAACAAATCAAACAAGAGTATGGACAGAACTTTTGTCACGTTGTCTTTCCTCTGCAGACCTGAAAGGGAAGGTGCTTATTTTCCCTCAGGAGTCTGCCACAGCCTATGTGTCCCTGATACCCTCAGTGAGGAAGTCCCTGCAGAACTTCACGCTGTGTCTGAAGTCCTTCACGGATCTCACCCGCCCCTACAGCCTTTTCTCCTACAGCACACGCACCCACGACAATGAACTGCTTCTCTTTATTGGAAAGACAGGAGAATACCAGCTGTCCATTGGAAATGCTGTGGTCATTTTCAAGGCTCCTTTATCCCCTTACAGCCCAAGGCACATCTGTGTGAGCTGGGAGTCTGCCTCCGGGATTGCTGAATTCTGGGTGGATGGGAAGCCCTTGGGGAGGAAGGGCCTCAAGAAGGGGTACACTGTGGGGGCTGATGCCAAGATCATCCTGGGACAAGAGCAAGACTCCTTTGGGGGAAAATTTGATGCCAAACAATCCCTTGTTGGGGAGATATGGGATGTGTCTTTGTGGGATCATGTGCTCCCTCTCAATAACATGTGTGACTGCTGCAATGGTGGCAATGTCCTGAACTGGCAGTCCCTGAGTTATGAGGAGAAGGGCTATGTGGTGACTAAACCCGTTCTGTGGGCTTGATCTTTGTTGTCTTCAGTCATGATTTGTGCTTAGTGATAATCACATCCTCTTTGAAATTAAATACATTAATTTTGGGGGGCTCTGTTAAAATGGTGTGAACTACATTAAAAAACAAACAAACAGATAAGTAATCCTTCAGTATGTGTTATTTATTGTTGCAAAAATTTCTTTGGGTGAATGTGCCATAATTTGCTGTAGTATTAAACCCAGAAATCCCAGGGGACATACTGCTTTCAGTGCTGGGTACCAATCTTATAGAACCCTGCGCCTTCCTGGGAGCTCCTACAGGGATGCCTGACACTCAGATTAAACAACCTATGGAAACAATGTGCCTGCTGGGAGAGCTCTAAGGAATGGGCTACTTTATGAGCAGGACTTCCAAGGACAATCTCAAAAGGGAGCTTTCTGAGGAACAAGACTGTGAAAAGAGTTTCCTCTGTACCACACTCAGAAAGGACTGTGTTGTCTTTAGCAAAACCCACACAAAGACAAAGATAAACTGTCCTGGAGTCCCTGGTCAGCACCCAGCTCTCCAGGTGTACTCTTCCAAGTGGGTGTTGAGTAGACAAATCTTCCACTCTTCCAGGTCCATAAACATGCAGATTTCCGTCCTTGGCCTGCTTCCACTAGGGAATCCATACTTTTTGTTTCATGACAGTGTACTTTGAATGCATTTTTGATGGGGACCATTGGGTGGTGGTATGTGGGAGATAATGTCTTTCTTTCTTTTACATCAGCGCTCTTTGGACTAGAAGAAATTTTTAAAATTCTACTTCTTTTTTTCCTCTAGGACAAATAATTCTAAACTCTTAAATCTTCCTCACAAGTCAAGATAACTTTTCCCTTTAGAAGATAATAACAATGAGACTTTGGAAACTCCCAGACTCTTGTTCAGAAAAGTGCTTATAGTTTAAAATAGGTACCCAACAATTTACAGAAAATAAGACCATCAGTGTAGCAGTGACGAGGGAAAGAGCAAGACATAGGTATGGTCGTGTTCTACAAAGAAAAATTAATCTCAAGATTTGTCATAGCAAGAGTTATCTGGAAGGCTGAAGGGGGTGAATGGAGGACAGGGGTATGGGGAAAAAAATAAGAACCAAGACATATCATGTAAAGGTACAAGATCCCAAGGATGATTGTAGCTGTACTATTTGCTTTAAATGTACTAATAAACAATGTGAAAAAAGGAGTTATCTGGAAATTGTCATTAATAAATTTAATTTCAAAAAAGATCAGATATTCCTAGAGTTGTGAATTCAGTAAAGCATATGTGTTGTCCCCACAGAAAATATTTACGGTATGCGTAATCAAAATCAGAGGTCAGATGTGACAAAGTTGCTTACTTTTATATTGAACGTACTGGTAATCCAGACTCACTGAGGAAATGCTCTAATGTGAGCTTCAGTAAAATTGGGGAAAAAATTTTATGAGTCCCTAATGTAGGTAAAAATGTTTAAAGCTGAAAATATTTCTTCTAGAGTGTTAGGATCTGTTACTTTCATCACTGCCCAAAGGAGAAAGTGAGGATAAGTGGAAAAAGTAGTCTTGATTGTGTTTCCAACGCATCCTATACATCAACCATGTCGTCTTTGAAGTTTTAGAGCTCAATATCTGTCTGACATTTAGGTTGATCTTTCACCCACCACTTCAAATAGGAATTTTGGAGCTTACTTTTCTGCTATCAATCAAATACTAACAGTCAGCTACCCCCTGGCTTGTGACTTCCCCTAGCTTCACATCTTGGAAGCAGCATCTGACCATTGACCTGGTGGTGACCATGAGACTAACAGGCGGTCCAGGATAGCGATGCTAAAAAAGAAAGAGGGCCAGAGCGAAGCCCAAGCATGGCTTTGTGTTCAGTCCTTACCACTGCAAATAATAATAAATAAATAAGCTTAAAATAAAAAAAAAGTTAAGACAGGGAGACTCTTGACTCTCTAATGCAACCATACCACCAAATTTGGCAACTCTCTTGGAGTGCAGGAGAGGATCAATTTTGTGAGCTTACAAAAATGCCCAGACTATGACAGTCTATACAATACAATATACAATGTGTTCCAAGCCCCTAGGGTATGCTTGAAAATGAGGATGGTACTGAACCCTATATCTGCTATTTTTCCTATGCATCCACACCTATGGTCAAATTTATTTTGTAAGTTAAACACGGTAAGAGTTTAACAACAATAACTAATGATTAAATAGAACAGTTATAACAATATACTATAATAAAACTCTGTGATTATGAGTTCTTTCTCTCCCACAAGATATCTTAGTGTGCTGCACATACTAACAGGTAGGTTCCATATACTACATTGATAATACTGAGCCAAGGGATGATTCATGTCCCAGATGGAGTAGAGCAGGACTGTGATAGATTTTATCATGCTACTCAGAGAAATGTACAAATTAAAATTATGAATCATTTATTTCTGGAATTCTTCATTTAATATTTTCAGGCCACTGAAACTGCAGGTAAGGAGGGTTTATGGTATGCGAACTGCCAAATATGCTAGGCAAGAGGTTTTTTACCAATAGCACGGTAAAGGGCATCCTGGACCTCCTTATTCCTCAAAGTGTATACTACAGGGTTAAGGAGGGGAGTAAAAATGGTGTAAGTCACTGAAATCAACTGGTTTTCATCTCTGGTGTTCTCAGACTTGGGCTTGAGGTAGGCGATGGAGGCACAGCCATAGTGGACAATGACCACCGTGAGGTGGGAGGCACAGGTTGCAAAAGCTTTCTTCCGGCCCTCAGCAGAGGCAATCTTGAGGATGGTTGAAAGGATGAGGATGTAGGAGATGAAGACCAAACCCATGGGGACCACGATAACCACTGAGCTGATGATAAAATTAACTATGTCATGTACAGTGGTATCAGCACAGGAGAGTTTCATAACTGGGCGGATGTCACAGAAATAATGGGCCACCTCTCTATCACAAAAAGGCCTCCTGAACACAGATGAAATCTGGATTATGGCCACAAACAGTCCAATGCTGCAGGCCCCCCAAACCAACTGGGCACATATTTTTTTGTTCATTATGACTAAATACCTCAAGGGGTTACAAATGGCTATGTAGCGGTCATACCCCATTGCAGTGAGCAGAAAGCAGTTGTTGATGGCCAGAGTGATAAAAAAGAACATCTGGATGGCACAGCCTGCCAAAGAAATTGACTGGCTTAGACCTACAAGACTAGACAGCATCCGCGGTACGATGACCAATGTGTACACAGTCTCCGAAGTGGAAAGCATACTAAGAAAGAAGTACATGGGAGTGTGAAGGTAACGATCAATGCTGATGATTATCACAATAATGACATTGCTAGCCAGGGTTAAAAGGTATAAGATAAGGAAAACCACAAAAAGTGTAAGTTGGTGTTCATGAAGGCTGGAGAAACCCTGGAGAACAAACTCATTCACCACTGTGAGATTTTCTCTCTTCATGAATAAATTCCAGGTAAAAAAAAAGACAAAGACTTGGTTCAACCAGCCAGAACACACCAGTGACCAGGGCTTTGAATGGAGAAACTCAAGGAGAAGGAGATGATAAAGATTCTGCTCCTGAACAGACACCACGTTAGTGGGGACAATTGTTAAGCTGTGAATAAAATATAGAGAAAAAAAACATAATCAGAAAGCAATTTCATGTATGTCAGTTTATGCATAAAGGTACCAGAGGATAAACAGGAGTGGAACAGAATGGAAGCAAAGACAGCTGTGGCAACTTTGGGAAAGTTTTCCTGGTAGGATAGAAGATGGGTGCTAGTGAAAAGCTAGGCTAGAACAACAGAAAATGCATAGTTAACTTTGAAAGGAGTCTTGTTTTAGGTTGTAGTTTCAGATTTTGTATCCTACAATTTGTTTAAACTGGAGTTCTGATCATCTTCTTAAATATCTTCCCTGCTGAGTTGTTCAGTGTGGCCCTGGCCTCTGTTCCAGTTTAGCCCAAGTGTCTGCTTTCTCCCTGTCTGCATATTTCACGAATCCTTTTCACAAGTCATTCAACAGTTTCAGATGTGACTTTCCCTGCTTTTATATATATATA